TATTGGAGCTAATTTGGCTCGTTTGGTAGCAGTAAAATAGTGAGTGGTGGTAGGAAGTCCGGAGGCAGCAACTGAGGAGGTAATTCTTTGCTGGTGGTCGCCGGACGGCTGCTCACAACACTGACGTCTTCATCTGGCACAGTCTAATTTAAAAGATGACATTTTTAGAGGACATCTCTTAATTTACACAGAAATTACATAGAATGCATCAACCAATGGGCAAAGAAGCAGCTCCCGTTGGTTTGCTCTGGGCCTCTCGCTGTAAGCTGTGGTTTTTTGTTACAGCCTGGGTAACAAAGCAGAGCCAGCTTCATGCTAGCAGTTGTCCCCTGCTGCCTGAGAGTGAGAAAAAGGAAGGAAAAAAAAAAAACCTCATCAAATCTTGCACACTAGATCAGTTCCTCAATATAGTCCATGGCACAGGCTGTGGAACCACTGTGCCAACATACCTGAGAGCACCGTGGGGCACGGAGGCAGAAATGACTGGCAGTGGGGGGACAGCCATAAAGGAGCATTGCTGCTGAAAGCCTTGCATCCCAGATGTGCAGCATCGCTGTCTGTTTGTTCGCTCTGTTCCTGCCTTTGGGTTCTTCACACCCACACTTAGGTGCGGATAACTCCATCCGTGCCCCAGCACAGATGTTTGCAATCAGTCTCCAAGGGAACCCCTCTGGCTGTGTAACCCATCTGCCTTCACTTAGTCCTTGCCAGGCTGACCAGTGCCCCAGGCACTGGCTGTTGTTATTTCAGCTCTTACTAAATAAAGGGATGTTTAATTGATGTCTCCCCCCTGCCCCCCTTAGCCTAATTGAAGGGTGTTTAACATGCTCCACAAGGAGCATCTTCCTGCTCTCCTTGCTGACCCCATCCTGCATCTCCTCTGATGTGGTAGTCTTCAAACTTTATCATGAGGCTGTGTCAAGATTAGATTGCCTTTCCAAAATTCATGTGTCTTTGAAAAAAAATTCTGCTAAATCACCACCTTGTGACTATTCCTGTAAATGTACTCTTCTAGTCCAGGACTTTACTGTCCTCCTTCCTATTGTGACATATGTTCATGGCTGTTTGTCCCATCACTAGATGACAATATATAGATGCACGCTGCCACAACCAAGAGGACATCTCCTTTTCTTAAGACATAAACTATTTTTCATAGGAATCGAACTCCTGTGACAGCTGTTTGCCACATTCAAATGGAGAATATTCCTGAAAATTGCCAATAACCACATCTAGTTGAATACATTTGTTCACTACAACTCTGAAAATTTTATAAACCAGTATCCTGGAAGTGAAATTTCCCACGCCTGCTGTGTAATTACATTCTCCACCATTGCACTTGTTTCCTCTTTAAAAGAAACGGGGCGGGGGGGGGGCACTGAGCATACTGTAACAGAATCACATTCAGCGTTTGGTATTAATACAAAGAAATAGTACAAAAAGGTCCATTGAATCATGGAGTGACTCAGAAGGCAGTAGAGGAGCGCTTCTTGGCTATGTAGAAATGTCAGTGGTTCAACATGAGAGCAGAAAGCTCTTAAACACGCTGTAAAGGACAGTTAATTTCTTCATCTAGTTTTAAAAGTAAGCGAAGCGAATCTAGCAAGGTGCGGTGAGGAAGTGTGGTGTCACATGCAGCTCTACAGGAAACGAGACTGAAGCTGCTGGGGAAGTTCAGAACCGGGTGACCTCCAACGGATTCAAATAGCACAGGTTAGTCCTCTTAAAATGTCTCTCGCTATCCTACTGGGGTTCTGTATATGTATTTTCAAAGCCGTAGGGCAGGGGATAAGAGTTGGTCCCTATGGCACTTGCATTAGCAGGTAGCAAGCGACACGGGCTTTCAGAGCAGGACCTTACAGAGCAAAAATAGGAAGCTCTTCTGTGAGTTAGGCTGGTTTGTGCGAAGCTTGGAGCCTGTATTGCCGTACAACAGCAGTGTGGACCTGAATCACAGTAGGAGTGTGAGTGAAATCTTCCCCGTCTTGTTAAGACTTTCATATAATGAGCAAAAGGTCTGGATTTTTAATAGAGGCGTTCAGTGTTACTAAATACCAGGAAGTGCTTTTTCAAGCACAGGTTGAAGCTATTGACTATAGGGAGAACTTCACTTTGTTTGATTTGGCTGTACCAAGTATATAGCTGTTCTGTTTGATTTTATTGGTGTAGTCTCTTGTTAAGATTTTCTCTCATTCCTGGTGATTTCTGTTGAGAAATTCCATTCCAGTTTTGCTGTGCTGGAGGGTTTTGGCTTGGGAATGTGCCATATCAGGAATGAATTGGCACCAGTTTGGTGCTAGAGGACTTGGGAACTTTCAGAGGGAGGCTATTTATTGGGGTGTACGTTTTGTATTCCTACACAAAAATACATTCATTACTAGGCAGTTGTGGCTAATTAAAAACCTTGAATGCAAAGTCAGAGTGAAAGCTAGAAAGAAAGTAAACTTCAGGATGATAAAATGTAGAATATTGCAGTGTTGCATCACAGAATCTGAACTAAAACTAAATTCCAGCCTGGAGCACACGTGGTGCTGGGAGAGCACGGGGGGAAGAGGATGTGACGGTTGTGCCGCCTGTGCTGGCAGTGGTGGCCGATGGCAAAGGTGCTTGCCCTGTGCAGAGCCTCCCTGGCTCGCTAGGCAGAGTCACAGCTTGCCAGGCTGGGCAGTGAAGTGGCCATGATGTAGCACGAAATGCGGTTGTTGAGGGTGACAGATGCTGTACCACAGGCATGCCAGACATTAAAATCAGAGATTTGAGTGTTAGGCAGGTATTCTTAAAACTGTCCGTACTTCTTCCCAAATCTTTTTAGAAACATTTCCCTGATTCTGTAAAAAAGCAGACGTAAGTTGCATACTTCCTAGCTGTTTTACCCTCCTCATGCCACCTGGTGCATTCATCCTGATCTGAGCATAAAAACATCTACGTAAATTGAACGTGGCGGCTGAGGAAGAACCAGGCTGGGTGAGTGGGGAGGTCCTCACCTTCTCCTGCCCGGGGAGGCAGATGCTGGGTTTGGCTCTGCCGCAGGGCACTGCAGGTCTCAGCAATTTGGGAATAGCAGTGCTCTGTTTCTGGCAGGTTACAGCTCTGCAAATGTCACTATCCGCGGCCTTGCAAAGCTTGCTTTCGGGTTTTGAGCTTTGGAGTTTCACGTGCAGAAGGTTCTGGCCTTAGATGGTCTTCTCGGCTACTGTAAAACTGGCAAGTTTTGCAAAGAGAGCAAAGTTCTGCCCAAAGTTGCCTTTTCTGCTTCATTAGGGTTTATAGCTTTCAGCAGAGCACTGTGAAACTCAACTCTGTTTAACTAAGAATGTGATTTAAAACCAATTTAGTAAAATCCCACTGCAGACATTTTCATTTCAGCCTAATCCTGCTTTATAGTAGCTCATCTCAAATAGATTATGAGTTGTTTTAAGCTAAATATAATGGCTCGTAAATAATATATTTGAGCCTCCACACAGTAGTTTGTGCCAGATATTTGAAACTGAATTAAAAAATAAACTGATACACTGTCTTAAATAAATAAAGCCTAACACTTTTACACTGCTGCCAAGAGTGAGCACAGACAACCAAGACTGAAAGAGGAAAAGAGCGGGAGAAGGAGGAATTTCTGAATGGGCTGGTTCCACCAGCTTGTATTATGAAAACCAGAGAAAGAATGTTTCTTTCCCAAACAAATTAAAAAGGAAATCTACAAAAAGAGGAAAGGGGAATAAAGAGCACAGACTAAACAAAAGGAAATAAATATGGATTGGAATGAGAGAGAAGGAAACCAAAAAAAGAAAATAGTAAAAAATGGAACCAGATGGGACAAATTCTGTGCTCAGGAAAAAACCCTGCTCTTTTACTGAACTTCAGAAGGAAGGGAGAATGTGTGCATGTGTTTGCACATGTGCATAGCATCTATGGAAGAAAAATTAATTTTTCTTTATATTTTTTAAAAAATTATTTATTTTGGTTTCTTTCCCTTGGGCAGTATTAGTATAAAAGTTCGTAAGTTTGGAGAGGTTCAATGTTAGATGAAAGCAGCTTTAAAGTATCCTTAACTTTGCAAACAAACCAGGTAAACCTCTCAGAATGCCACTTTAATCACTGGCCAGTTTTGCTCCCCAAAAGCTACTCAGCCACGCTGCTTTGTTAACTTTGTGTCCACAGTGCTCTTGGATCCATGACACAGGGTTGTCCTACTCTCTGCAAGAGAAAAAATAGGAGTCAAGACGTACAACACCAGCGAATACAAACATGAGCTGCACAGACCAGCTTCGCAGAGTTTACAGCCCCTTGTGGGCTCCGTTTCACCACGTAGTGTATACAAAGGCTTCACACCGGTGAGGGATTGAAGAGACTTTGATCTATAAATAGAAGTAAATCCACAAAATGCTGAATAGTTACCGATCCTATATTTTATTTTGACTGGACTATTGAAGACATTTTGTTATTTTAATATTAAATGCATCAAATGGACAGGGGTATCTTTTGCTGGGGTGTTATTTGCAGCATGTCACTGTCACGCCTTGCTGGTTATTCCTTCCCACTTTCTTCCCCCACATGCACTTGGATCAAGTTCTGCAAATCATTTCTGTAATTAGCTGTTAAATGCATCTAGAGGTTGAAGGAGGTTGGTTTTACTTTTGTTTAGTTGATTTGTTTCAGCTTTTGCATGCATTTTTCTTGAGCCTAAATTATAGAAATCTCCTTATTACAAAGGTTTTCAGTGAACCATGGCTCTTTTAAGGAGGGCAACTCTGGCAGTGAGTAACTCTGTTCATTTTTACCACCACATCCATCCACACATGTTTTGAGGCTTTTCTGCTTCCATTCCACCATTTACTACTTATACTAAGCTATGCTAAAGTTGAGGGAATTACCTTAAATTTGCTTGAGAACTAATTGGGCACGTTGGCCACAGGGACTGATATGGAGAGCACAGTCAGTGTATTTTCCTGTTCTGATTCCTCTTTAGATGGAGACGGGCTCCTTTTTATATGTTGCAAGTTTCTCATGCAGAATTTCTACTTACGTAAGGAAATGCATAATAAATACGTACCCAGGCTCTGTGGTCCCCAGCGTTTCAGTTTCACAATTAATAGTTCTTGTTTTTTCCTTCCTTGCAGGAATGTGCAGCCTGAGAAATGGTGTTGCGGTCTAGCAGCAAGTGTGCTCTGAACTGAATTTGCCAGGACTCCTATTCTGTGCAGGCATCTCTTCTGCTGGTGACCAGGTACAGAGCCCATGGGGTTTGCACTGGGAGAGGGTTGGGAGTGGGAAGAGACACTGTGTGAGCAGTGGCACGGGGAAACACACCTCTGGCCTGTCTCATCCCTGGCCTATAACAGTCAGAAGGCACAAAACCATCTCATGGCTTGATTTGCACTGTGACAATACAGGAGTCATTCTTCCCCAGGGCAGGATTAATGGCAATGCCAGTTTTACTGGCGTGCTCTGATGTGACACACCTTCCTAATGTCAGATTTAGGTGCCTTTGGTTATGTCAAATTTTCTGTCAAATACACAAGCTTTTAACACATGCAGTGGTTTTGATTTTTTTTCATTCCGGTAGCACAAGTAGGTCAGGAGACCTAAGATACAATTTGACCAGGCACTGTGAATTCGTAGTTGACCTGACTTTGAGCAAATGATTTACATTTGAAAGCTTCACAGTGAAGTCTGCACTGTTAGGGTTTGGTGCTAATGCACAGAAATAATATGAAAAGTTTCATTGAGACACATAGTGAATCAGAAAGAAAGAAATAATAGCAAGTTTATTTTTTAATATTTCTTTTTGATTGCAGCAGAGGCTGAAGCTGAAAGCATGTGCTGTAGGTAAGCTGCAACATGCTGACCTAGAGCTGGTGCAGTTCAGCACATCAAATATTATCTCCTCTCTTAAATGCACTGTGTCTGAGCTCTGACTGTGGCTTCTTTGTGATTAGTAGGCCAGGTAGAAACTGATGCTGGGAAGGTCCCAGAGGCGTTTGGGATTTTGGTTCTCTGTAGACATGAGCTCACAAGCCATTCCAGGCTTCTCCTTGATAAGGTCTGTTGCTGGTCCATGTGGGTTGATGCTTTTGGTGCAATTTCAGTAGTACACTTGCTTTGGATACCAGAGGCTGGAGAAATCTGGGTGCCGGGCTTGGGAGATACGAGAGCAAAGAGCTAGCCCTAGGAGCAAATAAACATATTGCTTCATTCTTGGCTCCGCAACCCATACCGAGCATGATGAACTTCTGCCGGGACGGGGACTGGTGCAAAGCCTAGTATCTGGAAAGTTATTCCATATTGGAGGACCAAAAAAGGTGGTACTACTCTGTGATCAGGAGCCAAACACACCTGTTTGGACACTGCAGGTTAGAAAGGATAGCCTGTTTGCAGGAGGGACATATGCATATAGAGAAAATATGAGTGTTTTTAAATTGACATCTGTATTTTATTTCAAATTAGTAAATTGGATGCTGCAAAAGAACATATAATGTAATACCGAGATAAAGATGGTGAATTGGGTCACCCTCACCCATTTCAAATACAATGGGGGATTATGAAATGTCCTAGGAACAGCAGTGATGATGAGAGACAGATCAAATATAGCCCACGGGGAAAGACTGGAGGGAAATATGATTGCTTAGCCTAAAGAAGAGAAGATCAAAGACTCACGTAAACAGTTACCAAATAGCCACGAAGAGGAAAGGAATAAATTATTCTGCACATCAGTTGTAAATCGGATGAGAAGTAGTAAATGAAAATGCAGCAGAGGAAGTTTAGATTAGGTACTGGGAAAAGCTTAATTAGCTGTAAGGCTAACAAGGTAGGTGACTGAGGGATATTGCAGAATTTCTATCACTGGAGATTTTTAGGGAGCGAAGCAATAAATACCTGTGAGGAAGGATATAATCGATAGTGACCTAGGTGAAGGGCTGCTGTCTGTCATTCTGTATTTCAGTCCCTTATTGACAGTGCCTTAAAATTTTTTGGTTATTGATGAAAGCTCAATAGTTATTTTATAGGCAATAAGCACTTCCATAGGTATGGTACAGTATATCCTGTACTCCACTTTTCAGGGAGGGAAGGTGACGTGCTGTTCCTGAGTTTCCTGAGGAGGTTTTGTTCTTCTAATTTGGGAGTCAACAGATAAAATGAGTGCATTATACTGTGCGCTGTGGCAGAGTATTGAGTTGTTATCACTAGCAGCTGGCAAGGTCTGCTCCTGGCATAAGAGGAAGACCTGAAAAAGCAGTCTGTGCTGCTTTCTCAGCTGAACAGTTGTGGGAAGACAGAAAACTGCTCATTTTTATCATGGATCTCAAAATTCTGGTACTAATGGCAAACTTCAAATTCACTCTGGCCATGCGAAACCAGCTTGCTCTGCATTGAACAGTGTTTCCTAATAGCTGGTTCTGATGGATCAGGGCTCGCCTGAAGCAGCATTTGGCTGCAGAGTTCAGGCTCTGTTCTCGGGACAGCCCTGGTGCTGCCATACCCGTTCTGCCCAGAAATGGGGCTTTTTCTCTGGGTGGTGGCACCTGGACCAGCACCACCTGTCACCCAGCCCTCTGTGAGCCAGCCTGTTTATAAGGACCTTGGCAGATACAGCAGAAAGCAGTGATCCTTGCAATAGTTTGAGGACCGCCAGTCACCAGGACTGCAGTTTAAGAGAGAAAGTAGACTTCGTGAGAGTAATAATGTCTTATGACGCGATAAAACCAACGCATAGCTTCCTTTCAGCTGTGGGTTTGATCCAGACGCAACAGGTTTCTGAGGAAAAAGTTTTCTTTTCATCTAGAAGCTTGTGGCCTCAGATTTGAAGTGGATCTTAAACTCTCTGTTTAATTACCAATTCTAGTTTTGAAAGCAGAGGTGTTAGGAGTTGTACTTCAGTCTGCCATATGCTAAACTTAGTGTTCAAACTTACTTAAAATAAAACTAGTTTGTTTTTTGCCTGTGCAAGCTAGCCAAACCAATCAACCAGTTTGATCAAGGTTTCAGCCATATTTACAGGATTCAGCAGATGTGATGCTAACTTTAGCTAGGGTTTAACAACTGTGACAACCACTCTTATCACAAAGAAATTAAAGGGGAAATTGGCTGCCACCCTCCAATACCTGCTGCTTCAGGGCACCTGCACTGCGCGCTCCAGCTTGCAGTGACTGATTTGTTTTCTCCTCTGAGCTTCTGGTAGGTCAGCATTAACATGGTTAAATTTGAGTAGTCCTGTGGAATAAGAGGACTTGCTGATGAATGTTCTAAAGAGGAAATGCAAGTGTTGAATGACGGTATGTGGCTGCTTTTGGTTTTGTGGGTATGGTTTTTCCTGGCAATAGTATGCCATCCATCCATTTATTATTTTTTTTTGTAAGACTGAACAGCGCCAAACTACTACTTTTTATGCAAAAAGCTGCATTTGGAATACCAGCAGGAGCTCAGCTAGACCTGCTGTCTTGCAGGGAGGCAAATAACCTCCAAAACCAGCTCCTGCATGGCCTATGGAGCAGGCTGGCTTGGAGCTGCCAGCCAACATGGAGATGCAACACTGGCTGGGCACCAATTCCAAAAACCTGGCAGGAACCAGGAGCTGCTGCCAGCCCCGGAGCAGCTGGTCAGGGCACCTTGTCTCTCCTCGATCAATGGCTTGCAGCTCCAAATGAGTTCAAGCAAGATGTGGGTTTGTCCCTCTTTGACTATTCACTGGCCTAACATGTCCACCCAGGTCTGACCTCCGCAGTCAGGTAGGTATGACCTCATGTGCAATGTCGCTACAGTCTCTGGAGAACCTGTGTCCTCCAGGGCAGGCACCAGCAAAGCACATTGACTTTGACTACACTTGCTGCATGGAAACACTAAGTTGGCAAAGGTCATGGAAAACGGTTGGAGATATAAATATCTAAAATTTAATATAAAATGTGGCTAGATGAATGGAATTGCTTGGTTTTAACTAATGATGGCTTGGGCAAACGCTGCCTTTTAATGTGTGTGGACTTGACCAGCTTCACAGGTAGAAAGTGGGGGGTGCTGCATGTGTGCCTGGGGTCCAGCCCAGGTCGCTGCAGCAGGCAATGCAGCTGCACCGCTTTCCTTCTCAGGAAGGCAACGCAGGACATGCCCCCTCTTTGCGCAGAGGAAGATGGACTAGGTCTTGTGCTAAGCCGGGAAAGGCTTTGCCCTGCCTATTTTTTTGGCAGAATCCATTAATAATCATTCTTTCCAGCTTCTCTTCTTCATTTGCTAGCTAAGTACTTGCCATGTGCAGCTGTAAAAAGTTGTTTCCAAAGGGAAATAAATTGGAGCAAAGACTTCTGTAATCGGAGATGAGGAAAGCAGAAGGGCGTTTTCACTTTGTTGTCCTTTGTTGCTTTTGGTTTGATTTGTGCCATGCTTTAAACTAGTCCCCTTTACAGGACTTTGGGCCCCTTTCCTTGTCCACATCTGTGTCCTCCCAGTCTTAGCTCCAGTGGCACCAACTTGTCCCGTCTCCCTCCTGGGACCAGGGGATGATCAAGGCAGTCAGGAGTCAGTAAGAGTCCTTGTGCTGGGTCAGCGTCTCAATACACTAGTGAACCTACGAAAACAGAAGTCTCTAGCAATAGGATTGAGATGCCCAAGGTGGAAAATTTCTGTTTGGATGTCCAAGTTAATGATCACAGTTACCGTTTTTCAGGATATTCTTATTGAAAAACTTTTCTAATTAAAACCATCAGTTTATCAAAACCTTCCTTTTTTTCTTTCCGAGATCAAAGGTGAATTTGGCACAAAAGTTAAATTTCAGATATAAAAAAAAAATCTAAAATCTAAAATCATCTTTTAAAAGAAATGTAAAATATCTAAAGCAAATGTAGGCTCTGGTGAAACTTGCACTTCTAAGAACAAAACTGTTGGTTTTTTAAAATTCCTGATTAAGACAGAAATCTCTTCATAGCTCAGACTTCACAGGACATAAAATTAGTTTTGCATTTTACAGTTTGCAGTTGTAAAATCTGAACCCTCTTTGCATTTTGGCAGCTTATTTATTAAATAATTGAAACATCTCTTAGCTGCACCTCTCTTTTCCAAGTGACTTTTGACATTTTTTCTTGCCAAAAGGCAGCGTTGGAAATACTTAACAGAAAAATTCATCCTTCTATTACTCAGGATGTTTTCCAGAATGGACCAAATGGAAATTGTTGGTGATAGGAACAGCACATGAACATTGTGGGTGACTTGCACATATGCATACCCAGATGCTGAAGGCTA